GAGGTCTCAGAGAATAAATATAAGGGAAGTACGCCTCCTTCTCGGGATTAGGACAGCAATATAGTAGTCTAATACTGGATGAAGGGTACTCGAGAGCGCAAGTGTAGCAAATAAATGTAGTTGTATCCATTGTAGGTGCTTGCCGCTTGCGAAGCGTATAATTTCTATCACCGTGCGGTACTCCCTGCCGTGTGTAAGCTTTCCATTGTAATAAAAGATGATTCTGGCAGGCAGAACAGGCCTAAAAAGATCAATGTGTAAATCGTTGCAAAAATTGAAAAAAAAAATTGGTAAATGTGGCAATAAGGAAATACCTGCACTCGACCAGCGCTATCCATAGGTCGACTTCTGCTCGGCCTGGGATGAAGCATCAGTGACGGAAAAAATGGCGGAGGACTGGAAGAAGGGTGCGGCGGGTTTGGCAGTGGCTTCGCAGCGATGTGACTAAGAGATCCTCTCTTGAATTCGTCTCCGCACACATAACAGACTTCGGTGACAGAGTTCTTGTCCGGCATCGATAAATCTAGAATGTCGGTGCCAACGCTGGACGACGATCCGCCGCTATATATAGCTGCAATTGAAATGTCAAATAATCGGTTATGCCGATTATTATTATTCATTATCGGTGAGCGCTCTATGGTACGCATCGTCGTGTAAAATCCGTAAACGCGCAATGCAACTGTCCATCCTAGTTGTCTCGAGAATCTTACATACGCTGTCGACATTATCATTATTGTGCTGCACGTGACCCATTTAGAAGTTGCATTTTTCGCAAGTTTATCGTCATGATATATCCACGAGCATGGACAGTTGAATTAGACGACGAATACAGTGTTTCAATAGCTCAATTCCAAACGACCCGCTTATCTGTCGGGGCATACGCTGACTAATGAATATCAGATCGGGCGGATCGAAATTGTTGAGGTCACCAAAGCTCAATATTCTGCGAGTGCGCGGAGCGCGGGAGGAAAATCGCCTGAATCGCCATTCAGATCGAAAGTGCGCGTCGAGTGACTCGAATTGACTCTTTGCCATGACTTCGACATACTTCTTATCTGCACAAAACTGTTTTAACCTTTACTTTTAAACATTTATATTAGTGCACGAAAGGACTAAGGCCAGCGTAAATAGCGACCCGATTCGTATATTTACCACGTATACATTCTAAACCGAGATAACGTATAATAGCAGTGAAAAACAGTTTTGTACTCCTATCAGATAGCCTGGTGATTTCACGTTCAAGTTATTTTGCCGAGTGTACACTTTGGACACGCTTTAAGTATTAGGCGCATTAAAGCGCTACAAATTTTTTTTTATTCTCCATGCTATATGATAGAAGATATTTTATCTAGACATGTATGTATGTGTGTGTGTATGTGTGTATATACGCTACTTGCGATATAGGATATAGCGTTCGTTAAATTGTAATGACAAAAATCTATATCTTTTTTCATAATTTAACAATATTTTATATCAAATATTTAATTATATGTAATATTTAATCATTATATCAAAAGATTACAGATTGTAAGATAGTGCAAATTTTACTAATTGATAGACATATACAAAATATCAATATAAAATCAAATAAATCCACATATATTATTTCTATAATCTATATATTATATATTTTTTTACTTCTCTTTCTTTTACATTTATTAATTAGAAATTATTTCAATAGATTAGTTAAATCATAATTTACTAGACACCCCGTGAATAAATAGTACATTCTATGATTGTTTGGAAATGAGAAGTAAAGATAATGGGTTGATTTTCTAGATAAAGATCCAATTACATTCGCCAATTTGATTGCTGGGAAGTTTCTGATACGCCTTTGTCTTTCTCTCTGTACGTGTGCGTGTGTGTGTGCGCGCGCGCGCGCGAATAAGTGCTCTATACATGTATTTTTTAAACTTTACGATTGATACTTATATCGACACAACAATATTATTATCCGAAAAATAATTCATTTAAAAAAGTAAATAAAATTTATTAATTCAGTAAATAAATTCAATAAAATTTATTAAAAAAAATATTTAAAAAAAATACAAAAATAAACAATAGTGGATAAAAAATATTACATAAAATTTGATTGTGCCGTCTTTTTCTTGGTGTCAAATATGAATTGTGTGAAATCAACACAAATGATTAAAACCTGAAGGTTGTGGTGGTAAGGTAGGTTGCGGTGCGGGCGAACTTCTAGGTGCATGTCTCAGATCCAACGCCGCCTCGTTGGATATTCTAGCGTCCTCGACCGATTGTCGCGGGCTCTGCAACCTTTGGTGAGGTGACTGCAATCTGTGATGAGGAGATTCCATTGTGAGCCTCGTTTGTTCCAAGTGCCTGTGCGTTTCCGCTGTGTTAGAATGCGGCCTTGGTAGCTCGATTGAATTCGACGGTGGTCTAGTTTGCTCGACTCTCGGCGAGGGTGAATTTGGCGGTAATCGCGGCGAGATACCGACTGGTCGGTTCTCCTGTCTGAGCTGCGGTGCCTGATCGTTCGTCAAACCCAAGACCTGAGCGGCGTACTCGCCCTGAAGTGCCATCTCGGCACCCGTGAACGAGCCGCCGTCACATCTCTTCAACCAATAAATCCGCTGACTATGCGGCCTAGCCTCTCGCTCGTAACTTTCCCACTGTTGCAACAACAGAATGTAACAGAGATTGCATGCTTTGACAGCACCGCTTCTGGCACCCTCGCCGCGATAGCCACTCGGCGGCTCGTGCGACTCGAGAAACGGAAAATAGGGCTCATTAGGTGCACCGCCCGGGCTTGGTTTTACTCGTAACCAGTGCTGCTCGCTGTGGCCTACAGCACCACAGACAAAGCATATTCTCGCTCCCCCACTGTCCTCGACGGGCGGATTGGGCTGCGGATTCGCGAGCGATTGCCCCTCAAGTCCCGGCTCATTCTTCACATATAATTTGCTCTCCATTATGTCAGGAAACCATTGGATCTCTTCTTAACGCCCTCTTATATCTTTGTGTTTGGCACGCATGTACGATCAGAAATCACAGTGACCAATAGAGCTTCTATTTCTTATGTATATCTGAAAAGAAGAATGGATTTATAATTAAATTGTACACTACATATCTGGTTCGGATATAATACACGTATAATACACTTTTTCTTTCTCTTTCATTCACACATATTTACATTATTTAACGATCAACTAAGAAACAATTATACTTTTTTACATACTTGAAATTCAACATATAATTGCAACGAGCATTTATTTTTCAAGTCAGCTGTCAACACAAATATTATTTGACGGCGATCCTTTTAGGACACCTCATTGTATGCAAATAAAATTATTTGGGCGCAGCTGAGATTTTACTTTATAGCACAAGTGCAGAAATTGCTCGATATATCAACAAGCAACAATAGTAAATTCGCATAGCATTATCTATCGCTATATTTAAAATTCATGAAATATTCATTCTTGATAACATTACAATTTCTAAAACCAATATTTTAAATATAACTACTTTGACTAGCAAATTATACCGCATATTGAACACATTTTAACGCAACTGGAGAAAAAGTGGCAATTCTCTGTGGAAGAAAAAGCAAATAAAAATGTAGAGTAAATCTTTTTAAACTAATTTTTTATGAAACGAAACTATTATACATATAGTTGTTGATTCATATATAAATGTATTACTCGTAATAAATTATAATTGCTCTATATTACATCTACAAAGACGACATTCTGAAGGTAAATTTTGCAATTTCGTTCACACGCACAACGCCTGCGATATCAGTTGTCCAATTGTCCAGGTAGCAAAATGTGTATGCGAAGGCTTGTAACAAATAGTCGATAAACAATTAGTTTGACAACTTGACAACAATCAACAGATGCGTTTAGGAGAATCAGTGCATTGACATATCGAGCATGTATAAATTTTGGACGCGATGCATTTAGACCACCGTATGGGCACGCGGTATATTTTTGGAGCATCGCTACATGGAGCGATTTACCGAGACCGGCCAGAGACGAACTTTTCGGTACATCGGTAAACGTGCCGCTAAGAGGTCGCCGTTTAAGGAGGAGCGTGTCATTCGCGCATTCCACGACGAAAAGGGAGGCGAGGAAAGGGAACGAGAATGCGGGCGAAACGCACGTAGGCGAGCATTTTTCGACGATGACGAGGACAAATTCATCGGCCGGCCCGATGAGAGCGGAGCCCGGAAATCGACCAACAACAACGCGACTCGGACTCGGACACAATGGTGGTGCGCTTGCTCGTCGCAAACTGCTCGCCCAGCGAGTTACGCTACTCGGCGATCGACGATCGACGGACGACGCGGCGCGGCGCGACGCAGCCGATGCCGATGGGAACGGCGCGGCGTCGGGATTATCGTCTCGTCGCCGACGTCGCCGACGTCGCTCCTTTTCGGGAAAAACGACGAGCAGGAGGGAGGAACGGGGAGACGCACTCTCGCGGGCGAAGCACTCTCGCTGCTACCGAAATTACGCGGAGCCGATCGGCGGTCGTGGCTCCGCGCACGCCGAGCGCCCCGGCCCCGGAGACGGACATTGTTTCCGCGCACGACACTCACGTTCTCACAGTTCGGCAGGGCTGGCCACAACATCGTTACAGCAAGTCGTTATTCGGTGCTGCTGTCCCGGCGGCTGCCACGGCTCGCTAGGACAAAAGCGGGGCTCTCTTATCGCGAGCCCTAGTCCCTGCCATACGTGCTCGAGCAACGCACGGTGCCGCGGGGTGTCACCTTCGTCGTCGCGCTGCCGGCCGTCCCGCTCATATTTACACGCGCCAATGTCCGATATCGGCCCCGACGACACCACCCGAACACGTATGTTTCACCGTTGCGCGTTTTATCGCCGAGTAACGACTGGAACCGTTACGGGCGACTAGGAAAGATACATTTTCCGATGGCACAGCACCCACGACTTCGCCCTCACTTCGCCGCCATGTTGCAAAATCGCCGATCCGCCGTCCCGTCGTGCCACGCAGCTTCGTCATATGACAGCGCCATCGCGTCGGCCAATGGGAGCGCGCGACGCATGCGCGCCGAGGCTCGTCCGAGACCGAATTGCCGCCAACGACGGGCCAGCGCACAGTTTGAACTTGACTAGCGGTCCTCGTTCCTCGTTCCTCGCCAAACCTCTTCCTTCGTCGAACGTGTAATCGTTTTCAGTGAAAGTAAAGGTCAGTGTGATGTAAAATCGTGCGTCTATTTATATATATTTATATGCGAATTTCTCCTCTCCGATTAATTCTTTCAAAGAATTTGTTCGTCGTCGATAAGTTTAGGAGAGGGAAATGGGAAATCGATCTGTTACAATTACGCTGCTAATTAATGGCCGTTTTGGCTAATTGCACAAGACCTGTTCGAAATATATCATTTTAAATGAAATTTCTTCAATCTTCATCAAATTTCTTCATCTTTTATTTCGCTCTATCGATGTTTATCTACTAATTATCGTTAAATATTGTCGCAATTTGTCGAGAGAAATTTACGTAAGAATAGCGTGAATTTAGTCGCATTTAAATTTTCATGAAAAGAATTAATAGGCGGTAGTTTTGATTCGAACGTAATTGAATATAATTATGTGAGTATATTGAATGTATGTAACTATAATTGTATGTACTATAATTAATCCCGATTGATGATTTAATGATGCAAACTATACAAAATTTATTAACAAATGTTACAAAAAGATTGCCGACATTTAATTAGAATATTATGTCTAGTTGTATGTCTAGGTGTAATTGAATCATTAAGCATTTATAAATGATTGTTCATTTTCATAAAATTTCTCAATTTATAAATTTTATGATTGTAATGACAATAATAATATTTATATACTTTTTTCAGAAACTACAATGTGTCAACAGCAACAAAACTGCCAGGGAGATTCCACTTACATTTTTCTTTCCTGCAAGTAAGTAAAATGTCCAATTTTAACAATAATATTTGTACAATAACATGGCAATTACTTATAAAAATGAATCAAAATATATTGTTTAAAAAATTAGAATTAGATAGGATTGGGATTCGAGTAAGAAAAAACTCGACATTCGATTTCACAGTATTTAATCAACAGGTTGGAACATCGTATTGAATGCTAAAATTTACGTTTTATAAGTTGTGATATCTTCATATGTACGCGCACATTTCCACTTTCTTCACTGGGTGGAATTCTGATATAATACTAAAAAATAATTGGAAATACTTTAAAAATACTCTTTGCAAATGATAATTTTTAGAAATCTCTCTCTCTCTCTCTCTCTCTCTCGGATCACTTTTGTTTCTATCATATATAGATCTATTAGCTACAATATTTAAAATTTTTTTATACGTTTCATACAGAGATTTAAAATCACAAGAAATTATTATTCATAATGCATAATAATAGTGTTATTGTTGTTGTCATTATTAATAATCTTACACTTATCGACACACAGTAGTGGTACAAAGTTATTTTATTTTTCATATTCGCGAGCGCGGATCACTATTTTTCATTATAATTATATTCATTTTCACGATAATCGCATGATAGGTTTACAATTTTACAACAAAGATATTTCATCTTGTGTGTGATAATAGTAACCTATTGCAAGATTGCATTGAATTGCATTAAATATACGGTTTAGGCTTCGATTTTATGCACGAGTTAATCTAAAAAAATATAAAATAAAATATTTCACTCCAAGCAATACTCTGATCTTGCAAATACAGTGTAGCCTCGTTATCACATTAATATATACTATGTCTAGAAATGTTACAAAGTGTTTTATAATAAGAAATACGACATATTCGTGTGTGAACAAAGCGATGGCTACACTGTGATTCAAGAAGAGTCTCTTGAAAAGCATTAAACATAGCAACATATAAATACAATATTATTTCTTCTTATAAATAATTACAAACTAAGTTTGCTTTGCATTGATGAATGACTATAATAATCTTTTCATTTTTTTCCTCTTTTCATCTCCTTTCTCTTTCTTCCTCTTTCTCTCGCATTCTTTCATTCATTCTATATAATTTCATCACACATACAAAGTTGATAAATTTATGCTATTGGTAAATATTATAAATAATTTGTTAAAAATTGATGATATTGCGACATCAGATTTTCAATGAGCAAGAAAAAAGTCAATATCTCGCATTTTAGTTGGTTTCACACAATTTAAATCAAAAAGCGAACTATTTTTATATAGAAATAGTACTGTCTTCGTATTTCCTTAAAATGTTGATTTTTACTCCGTTGACTTTTTACTCCACGATTTATCTTTTAAGAAAAGCACAGACAATTAAGTTATTTTGCTTTTATTATAACTTACTGATATACGCATATAATATGTTAAATCAGATTTGACATTTAGTGAACTCATGACTTTTACTCACTTGACCCTATTGCTGAGGGTTATCTCATCTCTTATGTACATATATAAACACAGATATTGGTAATAAAATTTTATCTTTGCATAAAATGCTTCAATTAAAAAAAGTAGAATACGATTCGCAGGAAATTTACTTTAAGGTAATAATTCTGCAATGATTAAGTGCTTTAATTGTTCTACTTGTTCTATGATAAAAATAGATTCATGATACATATCTAAATGTGATGTCCGTATCGTGTATAGTATTTAATAATTCTAAATCCATCATATGTTGCACGCATAAATATCATAATTAATGTACATATGTATATCCACATGATTCCAATTTTATTTTAGCAAAACATTAGAAATGATTTTATTGTAGCAGTTGTGTTTTGTGTAAACGATATTGTAATGAGTAACGAATATTATTAGTAAAAAATATGCTGGATCATTAAAATTTCGATCCAAGCAACCTGCGAGTATTATCTAGATCAAAAATAAATGACCAAATAAAACTATATTTATCTAAGAGGAACAAAGCATTAATCATGAAATAACAGGAAAGTATTGGTCCGATCATCAGTTAAAAATAAAAATTTACACAAAGTGCTTTTGGATCTTGTATATAATATAGATCACATATTTCTTGATATTCGTTGGCAGCATTATTTCTTGTAAATCTATGCTGCTAATAGCACTTTTCGGTCGCTCGAATAAAGAGACTGTTTCCAACATTAAAAATCTAGACAATGATGTAATCCCATGATTCTTTCGTTGGATCTATCTACGATATCTCTTTTCCAACAATATCATCTTCAATCACAGTACTATTATTTTTCAAGTGCAATATTTTCAGACTCTTCGTTCTGTATTTGTTAATCATCAACAAGAAAGAGATCAGCTTAAAAACCTATCACTATATATTTCTTTGGCTAGAGAACCAAAAAAGACAATTTTCCTTAATTTTTTCCAAAAGGACAAAATAAAAAAAATATATGAAAGAAATTTTCAGTAATAATTTGAAATTAAGACAAAACGACATCGATAATGTAAAATTAGTACGAATTATTTTGTCGATAATGATAAAATTCTTTACAAAAAATAAATAAAAACAAAATAATTATAATTAGTGATCTTATGAATGTGTATGGTATGTTGTTATTTTTTCGTATAACTTAAGCGAATAAATGAAAAATTGAAATAGGAAAGAAACACTGACGAATATATAACAATAAAATTATCTGAAACAATCGCACAAAATAAAGATTTCGTGAAATCGACGAAACACCAACGTCAAAAATCACTCGGTAAGATAAGTAAATAAAAAAGTGCTTCGCTCTCGCATATATTTTAATTAATACGCTCTTCCTGCGCGGCAAGTAACAATCCTGAAGAATTTTTCAAACGAGCTGAATCGACGTTTGATTCGACACTCTCAAATATTACTATTCACGGACGCTTCGCTGCCTAAAATTTCCTCTTTTATTTCCTCCGGCTTGCCGAATACAGGCTCGATCGTCTCCGACAACAGCTTCGGAGTGTGTTTATCGATGTGCGTCAGCTCGATCGGAAGGTATATCGTCCGGCAATAGTCAATATCGGCTCGGCATAATGGGCAACGCTCGCAGCGACGGGCGCAATCCAAACAGGCCACAGCGTGTCCGCAGGGAAACAAGGCGGTGTCTAGGCTTCGATCCATACAGATCCGACACAGCATAGCGTCTAGTAATCTCGCCAGACATTCCCGAGATTCCTGAAATTTCGCCGAACATTATATACAAATTGTCTTTGGGTCATGTCCCATTAACCGGTCAGAATAACGATAATATCGCAATTATCGGGCACGAGGCCTGAATTTATCGCTCACCTTGCACTTGGGATTTTCGCATTCGCTACAGGCGTGGTTCTCGAGAATCTCATTCTCTTCTGGCAAAGCTATGGTCGCAGCCTCGCAATAAAGCGCACGCCGTGCATTGTCATAAACCTCCCGACAAGTCCTGCGTATATCGAACACGTACTTTTTGCCTAGAGTCGAATCTTCATTGAAAATGGAAATTATTGTCCCCTGAAGAAAACAATGACAATTATATCTTACAATCATAAGATTATTGTAATTAATTTGCTTTTATTTGGGTTTTTTTTTTTGCGAGGGAGTTTATTATTATCAACAAAATGATGTTAAAACAAAACAACTTTGTACAAAAAGTTTCTAAATATATAGATACTATGTGCTTCCTCTCTTAAAACTCTCCAATGATCTTTTTATTGGCATTTTTGCAAAGTCACAAAAATTTTATTTTTACAAATATACGCATATAGATCGTCAATCTCTATCAGTGTAAATGAAACTTGCACAAGATACCTTTAAATCACGGATAAACTGCGCGGTGACTGCGCTTCTAACTGTTTCGCAGCTGTAAAATGCATGTTTCTCGGTAATCGCTCTATAAAGTCCACTAGCGGATTGGCTCGAGTCTAATTTAAAATCCAACGACGTCTCTTCACCATCGAGCGAAAGGTAAACCAAATGAAACATTCGCCGTTGTGACGTAGCGCTTTGTATAGCGGTGTACGGTATGCTGTAATGCAATACATAATACATCATATAATAGATTGAATTGTGCGGTAAAGTAAAAATTTAATGCTAATCTTCTTCTACATAATAAATGAGATGTAAACACTTGGAAAAATTTATTATATTATTACACATAAATATTTTTCATGAATTATTTTTACGCCTACATGGATAGATATTACAATCTTATTATTTCATATTAAGCGCGAATTGTGATAATGAAGAGATCAATAACATTGAATCGTGAACGATGGTCTCGACGGATGGTATAGCGTACAACAGCCGATACATACCATTTCCTACCGTCAACAAGTGACGGTAATTAAAATTAGCCTGCGGTTTCGTGTTAATAAATACATTTAATAACACATATATTAAATTGATTAATCGATACGTAAAAGTGTAATGGAGCTTTTTACGATAAAAGAATGTAGCTTAACAAAATATACACGATATGATGATAAATTAACAAGATTAAACTTACAATTAATTATATTTAAATTACAATTAATTATATTTAATTATATTTAAAAAAGAAATACAAACGGAAAAAATATTGTTTTTGGCTGAATACAAAAGTTTTCTTTTTTTCAAGTTTCAAGTATAGGTATATTAATTAACGCATAATTACTTTTGCGTTTCTTCATCCTGATTACGATAGACCGTAATTCCGTGTGGACCAACGCCGATCATAGAAACTCCGTTGTATCCAAATTTACTATGAAACATTTCTTGCCCAAACATGTCGAGATTGGATATTTCTTTCAAGAGCCAATATTCAGCGGTCGAAGCTTTCATTCCCTGAAAATTCATTAATATTGTAAACAAAATACTGCACATACAAATTTATCGAAATAAAACAATACATATGTATAACAGCATCTAATGGTATCTAATTAAATTATAATTAATACTTTTCAAGCTGTTCGAACCTTGATTTCCTTGTGTTGCTGAACTATTCGAAGTAGAAAATCTTGAGGTTTTGCTTCACACGGCTCCGCGAGTTGAATATGACAGCATTGAGAGTAGAGTGCATGCGGCGGTGATAGTGCATCATAATCACCACCATCGGCTTGCGCTATCAGGGCTACTAGACGGGCCACGGAACTCCAATCTGATACCTTTAATTTACCATCAACCAGCTCGAGGCGGGAATGCAAGTAGAATTGATGCCTGCAATTAGAAAGAGAAAGAGAGAGGGAGAGATGAGTGGTCGGATGTATTCACGGCGAGTTATTAATTGCAATTAGTTCAATTTCGCAGTAGAGATAGACGAATGCAAGGTGGGCCAGCTACGCTAATATACGATACTCAGACTAAAGTAAGATTGATTACCTTCCCATTCTCAGAGCACATTGTTTTAAGGTTTCTCCGCTCTCTCAACTAAGTTAAACAATATAGCAATGCAATAATACAGAAATGATTAACGATCGAAAGCACGTTTGTAACGATGAAAAATACATTCGTAATTTAATGTATGCAACGTTTATAATTATTGTAAATGAGACATTGTTTCATTCGACTGTCTGTGACTGTCTTTTATAAATCACTATTTTAAAGTAACATTCACTCAAAATTGACGTCTAGACATCTATATTTATAGCACGTTTTGCATTTTTAACAAATTTTAAATGTAGATTATATTTTGAAAAGAAGCTTTGGCACATTTTCATTTCAGTTTCGTTAAAAATTTCTGACAAAATTAAATGATTTATGCAGTACCTTGATTCAGTACCGCGATTCTCCGTTTACATGTATATTTGAAGAATACTGCATGTGCGACTAGAAAAGGGCAACTCTTCAAAAGAAGTCTTCTCCGAGAGCTACCCTTGCATACTTCTTCAGATGTACAATGCATACATTTTGCAATAAATATGTTGCTATCAGAAGAGTGGAATTATGTATTGAGGCTCGAACAGCTCGCTCGCAATACTAGAATACGACGAAGAATTATATTGGAATATATCGCACTTTGTATCATTTTTCATTTTGCGAACTCACTGTATTTTTATAATTCTCTCGACGATAACTCGTTTTAAAGATCAATAATTATTAATAACATCAAAAGGAATTACACATGTGCACATTAATAATACATAATTTGGCACAATGGGTACAAACAATTTATTGTCTATACTTTTATCCGCAAAAGTAAATAATATCGATTGTTCTTTCAACACATGATACTCATAGAGTATGAATTATCGTCGACTATTAGCTCAATATCGAATGATGATCGAATGAAACGAGAAATACCTGAAACGTATTATATTTTCAAGTTATTTTACGTAGTTGACTACGTCCTTGACGAAGAATTTCAATTTCAATCAGAGAATAAATTGGGTCGAAGCAACCGATAATCTATATTGATCGAATCGACGATAGTCTATATCAATAAACTTGAAAGAAAATATTGATAGTGAAGATTTTCAACGAATCTTCCAAATCTCGTCTATATCGACGAAATAAATTCTCACGTTGATTTATCTAGCTAGATTAATATATTTCGTTCTGGACATTTTCAAAAAAAATATATAAAATGTAAAAATGATTCAAATGATACAAATCAAATAAGAAGCAAAAGAAGGCTAGGAATTAAAGATGCAGGTAGTGGTGATACTATAATAATAATATATTATAATAGAAATTTTGTAAAGTTATTTATTTTATATATAATAAGAAGTTGAAAAATATACTCGTATGTTTAAAATGTACTGTCGACGATGTTTCGACCCTGCTCTGGGTTCTTTTCAAAGTCAAGTAGGAAAAATATAATATTATTAAAACACAACTTAACTGAATAAAGAAAGAAGTCAATGCAATAAAATAAATTGAAAAGAAACGGTAGGGTCGCACAATTGTGTAACCCCCTGCTTCTTTTCAATTTCTTTTTATTTTATTGCATTGACTTCTTTCTTTGTTCAGTTAAGTTATGTTTTAATATTATGTTTTCCTTATTTGACTTTGAAAAGAACCCAGAAGTCAAAGTGTCGTCGATAATATATTTTAAACATATATTTTTACGCTTCTTATATTAAAAAAAAGACATCATTACGAACTACGATACAATGCGCGAACAATCTTGTCGTTTTTGCCAGACGAAACTCACTCGTCTCGTCGGCCACAAACTTTAGTGAAATTCGCGTAGCAAGTACAAAGAACTCAATGACATTTGTCACTGTGAGAGATATATCGAGAGATTCTGCCTCAACTTTTGGAAGAAGAGAAAAGTTGGGAGAACACTGAAACACTTTTGACAATACAGAACTTACTGATAACCGCGTGAAAATCATCACCGAGAGGTCGAATTCTTCGATCGAAGATTCATGAAAAGATACAAAACGGCGTTTCCAAGCAATTTTCAAATTGAGATTTTACAATTTTTTAGCCAGCCTGATAAGTTTCTTATAATATTCGACTCGAAATTACTTTCTAAAATTACTTGGCGCAAAATTATTGTTTCGCGCTTCTTCATCTGTAAATATATTGTGCAATATCTATAAATAATTTTATCATACAATTGCAAGATAATATCTCATTCTTGCGATAATGAAATAATCAGTTTGTAATTAAGTTTATTTAATCCGCATTTAGTTTAGAGAAAACTACTAAATCAGCAAGTTTTATATATTTTATAGCTAATATATATTCTTATTAATTTAAAAAATGATACTTTTAAAATGAATTTAGTTCTTAATGCTCACTCAATATTATATACGATTCTATAGTAATTTCGTAACTTGTTTAATAATTAATTTTATAGTTATAATATTTTATTTTTTCATCTAGCGAAAATTTTTTTAATAATAAATTAAATTGAAACACATGTGGAAAAAAATTCATTGTATTATGAAGAACGCTTCTAATATCAGATTTGCACAAGAAAATAAACGTAATATTTATTATACCGCATGTCAACAATATTGTACCATGTTTGACAAATATACACACGTCGCATGGAGAGTTGGAATTGGATTAGTACAAGTAAAATAACTCCAGTAATATTAACAATATCGTTACATATGAAACGTCTAGCTAGCGGCCCATATTTTATTCATGACGTGTACACAACACTTTCCTATATATAATTCAGAAATGGAAATAAGATCAAACCGAGCTGTTAAATAAGGCATTTCACTCGATTGATTGTGAAGAGATATTTATATAAATCAAACTAACGCGTATTGTATATATCATATAAAATTGTGAACATACAAATCTCGAAAAAAAGTTACAACGTTATTTGAATCAAACATATGAGAATAACTCTTATATCGTATAATTATATAAACGTATCGTAATCGTTTATATAAATCTACTAATAATAAGTAATTAATGTCATTCGATAAATTAGAAATATTCGTGCTTTATTATGAAATAAAATATGATAAATAAATAAAAATTAGTAACATTTTATTATATGATATGACTGTACACATGTAAATTTCTCTATAAGACTAAAAATTATACAGATTATTATAATTGCGACAATGATGTCGCAAGAAGCTCAAGAGTGTTAAAATTTAAACCAACATTAGCGCTCAGCGGAACTAAACCCATAGAAAGCATCCATCCGAGAACTTTCAGTTTTGCATTCACAATATTTTCGAATAAATAATTCAGGGGTTATTTCCAACGATCCAGAGTAATTCTAAAGTGGCTCCGACTACTGAATTCGTCCCAGCTTTGCCTTCGTGAACGGGGACAGTCGTGAATTAGCTGCTGGCAGCAGATTTCTTAGGGGAATCGGCCGCGATGCAATTCGTAGTAAATTAGCATGCGGATTAGCATTTGCATATAATGCCAGTGCTGCATGTGGCGTGTCACCTACGACATTAGCTGGCCACATTGTAAATGAGTCAACACTAGATCCGACAAGCCGTGAATTTCAAAAGGGTATATGCATTTGCAGCTGCCCAGATTTCCACCAGAGAGTACGCGGCAAAGAGAATCGGCTTTGGGAGCAACTATGGAGACGGCTTTAAAGTGACCGCAAGGCAATTCTTGCAAAATAGTTTAAATTAGGTTTCATAATTTTAACGGGCTCAAGAAAGGACTTATAGAATATTCACTATATATCCGCTTTTAACCGTCGCGTTCATAATAAATGCGCAAATTACAAAGTTTCCTGCAATAAGAATTGTTAAGTAATAAATATAAACTTTGGTAAATGTCCAGTATAAAGATTCTTTTCTTTCTAATATTACATTTGCGTAAAATCATTGGATTAAAATACGATTATGAAAAACAAAAAACGAGACAACTTTTTTAAGAAAATTCAATTTCTACTTGAAATATATAAAATATATTTGATATTTGAGGCTTTTGCGGTATTACCTGAATATTAAGAATGGCTTTTAGATTTAAATCGCGTAAATTTTTTATTTAATTCCAAAGTTTCGCGAATGTTTCAGTTCATTTCATTAGGGAGAAACAACCTGATTTTATATCAGGTTGTTCTTTCCTGATGAAATGAACTGAAATGTTCGCGAAATGTTGAAATCAAATAAAGAATTTATGCGGTTCAAACTCGGACTCAATTTTAATATAATAAAATGTGTTTTAAAGAATCGGAGGATTCTCTTATATTTATCATTTTATTAACATAGCTAACAATAATTTTTTAAGCTGCGGCTACACGGAGTTAATATAATAACTTGACAGATTTAATATAAATATAAATTAAACATCACAGAATGTTTTATATATGGAATGAAATATGTTATTTAATATATATATATATATATATATATATATTTTTTTTTTTATATACATAGATATATAGATATGATATTCGAGATTATAAGCAAACTATAAACAATCTTAAATGCAATCAGTTTTATCAGCGCACCCTTATATATAACTTGTATTAAATAAGGCAAACTTTACGACACATATGTACATAAGTTAAAATCATTTTATATTTAGAAGCGTTACTTTATGATCCATTTTTCAGAATATTTTTCCTGTTATAATCTAATCTTTATGCAAAGAGAAGCGGAAGGGAGACAGCCTTTCAGCACGCTTAAATTTTTTTTTCGGCAATAAGATAAAGCCAAGATAATGGAAGATATAAAAAACACGATAACTAAAACAATCTTGCTCTTACAACATAAAGAGCATATTTCTTACCGCTTTTTACCGTTTTTGGTTTTTTAGCTGCAACTTACTTT